TTCCTATGTGCTGTCCTCGGGCTGTGTGTGGTAGATGCGGTACTAGCGGTCATCTTGCTCCGATTTGCAATATTGTTCTTCCTTGGGAATGTGTGGCCCCTATGTGTGGATTCCAAGCCAAAGGGAATGGGTTCTTCTATATTCATGATGCTAGCACGCCTAAACAGAACACTGATAGGAACAGATTCATTGTGATCACTGTTATTGAGGGGCAGGCTAGTGGTAGACAGTTGGAGGAATTTTTCAATGCTTACATTAACACAAACTGGAAATGTTCGGCCAGATCGATTGGGCTCAATACTTTTGTTATGAGATTTCCCTCGCCCAGGGACGTAGACAAGGCATGTTTCGCTGAAACCATGAATATAAAAAGTTGTTGGGCTGTGGTAAGTCTTAAGAAGTGGTCTGAATCTGTTGGTGCCAAGGGTGTACTTAACATTGCTTGGGTCAATGTTAGCAACATCCCTTTGGACAAAAGGCATGAAATGAACATTGCATATGTTGGATCTTTGGTGGGTGTGACCTTGGAAATTGATAAATCCACTGTGAACAGACCTGAATCGGTCAGAATTAAGTTGGGTTGCAGAGATGCTGAAAATATCCCAGGAAAAGCTGAGGGAGTGCTGGGTGACCACTTCTATGATTTCTTCTACTCTGTTGACAAGATTCTGGTTAAAAATCCTCCAAAAGAAAGTGTTACTATGGCCCAGGAATCTGACAAAGGTGTGTCACCAAAGAGAGCTAGGATTAATGAAAATATTCGAAATGCTGGGCAGGGGGACTCCTCTTCTACTATGGGGAACCTCTCTGTCCCACCAAACTCTGTTGGAAATGGAGGTAATATGACTACTGTAAATGAAAGAGTGGAAGAAGAGGAAGAGGATGGGGTGAAACAAAAAGAGAGTGAGGAAAATTTCTCTGAGGAAGAAAGTGAAGAGGTGGACAATGAACTTCTTATTGATACCCTTGCTGCTGAGAACATGAAGGAGCAGGCGGAAGGAGTGTAATCACATGGGGGCCAGTACTATGATAATATTGTGGTTAATTCCCTGCAAATTATACCCAGTGTTCCACTGATAAGGAAGTCTCTATCCTATCTGGATGCTGTGCTTGGACAGCCTGTGGTTACTGAAGTTTCTTCTGATGAGGTGACATGCCAGCAAGCCCCTGCGTTGTACTCTGTACAATCTCCTGCTGATTCGGGGGAAGAAAATATGGAGGTTATTCCTACCCCACCTGTGATGAATGAGACCCAAACCAGACTGAGCCAGAGGACAGCTGGCGGCAATCTTGAGCATATGGGGGTTCGAGCAGAGAAAATGACCAGGAAGAGAAACCTCCAAGGTAATGAAAAAAACCCAAACTCCAATTCCTTTGAGATTCTTACAAATCTAGAGATTGTTGATACTGCTGCTAAAATGGGAGTGGATATCCCTGACAACAATTTTACTGTTGTTGATGTGATTAGGGAATTGGAAAAATCTAGAGCTAATTTAGCTGAGAAAACTGAAACTAATGCTCAACAACATGAAAAAGTGTTGTTTATAACTAATGGTGCTGGAGATATATCTCCTTTAAATACTGAATGGTTGAAGGATGGGGAGATTGAGGAGGATGATTTTACTGTGGTTAGATCTAGACGGAAAGAAAAAAAAGAAAGTTAATGTAGTCATATCTAAACCTGTGACTAGAAGTCAAAAGAATAAAGTGTGTTCTGATGCTGGTTCGACCATGGCTCCTGGTAAACCTAGCAACAAGAACCACTCCCCCAAATACAAGAAAAAATGATTAGTTTGTTTTGGAACTGTAGAGGTGTGGGGAAGAGAGGTATGGCAACCTGTATTCTAGACTTGATTAGAGATCACGGTTTGGACTTTGTTGGTATTCAGGAAACTATGAAAAAGGATTTTTCCTCTAAATTCTTGAGGAAAATTGATCATGGGGAATGTTTTGAGTGGAAATGGACTCCCTCAGTGGGCAAATCTGGGGGGATTTTATGTGGCACTAAGAAAGACACTTTTGATGTTAAAAACTGTGAGGTAGGTAAATACATCATGAAAATGGAGGTGTGGGATAAGAGTAAGAAGCTGAACTATTGTGTTCTAGTGGTTTATGGATCTGCTCATGAGGAGCATAAGGTGGAATTCCTGACTGAACTGTCTGACATGTGCGGTAATATTACTTACCCTTACATTGTGGGTGGGGATTTCAATATTTTAAGATACGCCAGGGAGAAGAATAAGAGAACCAGAACTAGCCATGCTTCTGATCTGTTTAATTACATCATCAATACCTTCTGTCTTAGGGAGGTTGATTTCAATGGAGGCCTATATACGTGGTCGAATAAGTAGCAAAACCCTACCCTAGAAAAGTTGGACCGAGTACTTATGTCCAGTTCTTGGGAGAGGCAGTTTCCTTTAACGTTTGTTAGAAAGCTAGTCAAGGAGATTTCGGATCACAACCCCTTGATCCTGAATACTGATGACTTTTTGCCTAATCCAGTCCGTAAGAGAGACTTCAGATTCGATCTTAACTGGCTCAAAAACCCGGAGTTTATAACCTTAGTTGCTAAGGTGTGGTTGAAACCGGTCAATTCTAAAAATCCCATTGATGTACTAAACATTAAGTTGAAGAGATTCAAAAAATTCTTTAAAGGATGGGGTGCAAATCTTTTTGGCAAGTCAAGAAAGAGGAGAAAGGACCTCAGGGAGGAGTTAGAGCATCTAGAAAAACTGGAAGAAACGGATGTGTTGTCTCCTGAGCTATATGAGAGGAAAGTTGAGATATCGGCAGAATTATATAATCTGTTGGTGGAGGAGGAGGTGGCTTGGATGCAAAAATCACACGAAAATTGGCTCTTGAAAGGGGATAGAAATACTGACTACTTCCACAGAATTGTGAATGGGAGGAGGTGGAGAAATACTATTTTTTCTCTTAGTTGTGGGGATGTGATTATTGAAGGGAATAATAATCTCTTGGAGCATGCCACAAAATTCTATAAGGACCTTTTTGGGCCAGTAGTTGGAAACTTATGTAAAATGAAGGAAGATATGTGGGAATCACAAGAGAAATTGTCAGACATTGACAACTTTATCCTTACTAGACCCTTTTCTGAAACAGAAGTCAAGAATGCGCTATTCTCTATGAAACCAAATAAAGCTCCTGGTCCAGATAATATTCCTATTGAGTTTTTCCAACATTGTTGGGAAATGGTGAAAAATGAAGTGATGATGTTATTTGACTGGTTCCATGATAACAAACTGGATGTGCAGCGTCTCAATTATGGGATCATAACTCTATTGCCTAAGGTTGTGGGGGCAAACAAGATTCAGCAATTTAGGCCTATATGCTTGCTTAGATGTATATACAAGCTGATCACCAAAGTACTGACTATTAGGCTGGAACCTTTTGTGGATATTCTTTTCAGTAGACATCAGAATGCTTTCATTAAGAAGCATGGCATCATGGATGGGATCATGTCCCTGCATGAAATCTTGCACCACACTTACAATAGGAAGAAAACTGGTATTGTGTTGAAACTTGACTTCGAAAAGGCTTACGATAAAGTCAACTGGGACTTCCTGTTAGATTGCCACAGAATGAGAGAATTCCACCCGAAATGGGTCGAGTGGGTCAGTAAAATTTTAGTGGGGGGTACAGTTAGTGTGAAGTTGAATGATGAGGTGGGCCCATACTTTCAAAGCTCGGAAGGGGTGCGCCAAGGGGACCCTTTCTCACCATTTCTTTTCAATTTAGCTGCTGATTGTTTGACAAAGATGATTCTTAAAGCCCAACAAAACGGCTTGTTCAAGGGTCTGGCCTCGGACTTAATTCCAAATGGAGTAGCTATTCTCCAGTACGCGGATGACACAATTTTATGCTTCGAGGATGATATCAGGAATGCTCTGAACATTAAGTTGCTTTTATACCTCTTTGAGGTCATGTCAGGTTTAAAAATTAACTTCCTGAAGAGTGAGATCCTCTCTGTCCGTGCGAACGATGAGACTATGCATAAGTATGCTGAGATGTTTAACGACCAGATAGGTAATTTCCCTATGAAATACCTAGGCATGCCTGCCAGTTATGCTGGTTTGAAATGTGGTGATTGGAGTTTTGTGGAGGACAAATTCACCGTGCATGGTGAAAACTGGATTAGTGAAGTACTGTCTACGGGAGGGAGGCTTATTAAAGTAAATGCGGTACTGTCCCATATACCAACGTTTTACATGTCCATGTTCCTTTTAAACAAGACTACTCTAGAAAGGTGGGACAAGCCGAGAAGGAAATTCTTCTGGCATAGGAAAGGAAAGAAAAGAGGATATCATATGGTCAAATGGGACCGCGTTTGTCGGTCTAAAAAGAAAGGAGGCCTAGGGGTTAAGGACCTGAGAAAACAAAATATAAGCTTACTGGTGAAATGGTGGTGGAAGTTAGATAAAAATAAGGGCCTCTGGCAGGATATAGTTAAGGCTAAGTACCTCAAAAAAACCTCAGTGGCCATGGTGGAGGCAAGGAACAATGATTCCCCGTGTTGGAAATCCCTCTTGAGAGTGAAAAATTTATATATGAAGGGCAGAGGTGTCAAATTGAATAAAGGGGATGTGACCAGACTATGGTTCGATGAACTGGAAGGAAGGATACCATTTAAAGAAAAGTTTCCAGTACTTTTTGAGATATGTGTTGAACAAAACTGTACTGTTGATAGAATAGAATGTCTAAATCATATCACCTCCTTTAGGAGGAGGATGTCTCTTGAGATGAGGAATCAATGGGATGAAATGAAAAGGGAGGTACTGGCTCTCAAACAAAATGATTTACCTGATGAAATTTACTGGAAGTTTGATAATTTTGGTATATATTCAACCAAATCAATGTACAGATGGTTGGAAAACGATATTGCTGGTTCCAATTTCAAATGGATTTGGGATGCTAAACTCCCCTTGAAAATACAAATCTTCTTATGACAAGTGGGGCAAAATGCCATTTTGACTAGAGATAATATGAAAAAAAGAGCTTGGCCCAGAAACCCCTGTTGCTCCTTTTGCAACCAATTGGAAACAACCTCGCACTTGTTGTTCCTGTGTCCGGAGTCTAGAGTAATCTGGAGAACTGTAGGGGCTCTTCTTGGGACGGATTGCTGTCCTAATTCCATCTGGCAGTATTACACCTGGATGTACAGCTTCCTGCCTGGTTTTGAAAAAATTTATACTGTGGGCTTGGCAGCGATATGCTGGGCCATATGGCTAGCCCGGAACAGAGCTACTTTTGAACGCAAATGGATTAATTCTCCTTTTGAGATCGTGTTCACAGCTTGCGCCTTTCTAATATATTGGGCAGGTCTTCAGAAACCTGGGATGGAAGAGATGGTGAAGAAGGGAGCGGAGATGCTGAAAGCGAATAGTACTCAGATGATGTTGCTGTGTGGACCTCCTCCGGCGCCAAACATGGACGGGCGCGACTGAAAGCTGAAGATGGGTGGCATGTTGGGCTCGGCATCGTCTGCGGAGGACGTACTGCTGGGTCTTTGCTAGCGAAGGGTGTTATAGTTTATTTTGGTGATTGGTGGTACTTTGGCCTTGTCCTGGTGATGTGCGGCTGTAATGTGTGCGATACTTCTCTAGTTCCATGTAGGCAGTTTCGGGTGATAACAGGTTTTCGCCCCATGATCTGTTGTTCCTGATGACAGGCGCAGATAGTGGGTTTCCTGTTATTGCCCCGAACTCGCTTTTCTTCTTTCCTTGGCCCTTCTAGTTTCAGTTTCCTGAGATAGTGTATTTCCGTTATGAAAGTAATGGAAAGGGGAAAAGCCCGGTTCGAAAAAGTGGCTATGCCTTCCATTGCCCCGTCTGCTACCATGTTTGGCATAGTAGTTTCAGGTAGTCGCAAGAGATGCTCAAGGACTACTGAGCCCGACCTGTCCTCCAAGGTGGCATCGGTGATCATTCGAGTAGCCTCCACATCTCTTTAGCGTGAGCACAACCAAATAAAAGATGCATAACATCTTCAGAACCCTGTGAACAAACTGGGCAATGACCAGCTGATCCGACATGTCTATTGGTTAGAATACTTTTAAGGGGTAGTAATATGCCATGCAGTGCCCTCCAACAGAATATCTTGATTTTTCCGGGGATGCGCGACTTCCATAGAATTGACCAGGTCGGGTTTGGTGTTGCAGGGCCAGCCAACTGATTGGTGTTCTGAAATTGATGATCCCATTCACAGTGGTATGCCGATCTGACGGAAAAGAAACCTGAAGATGTACCCTTCCAAACGACAAAGTCCTCAAAAGAATTGTAGCTTAAGGGAATCTGGAGGATACGGTTGACATCCACTGGGTTAAAAATATCTCGTATAAGCTCCTCATCCCATTTCTCCGCCGCAGGATCAATCAACTCAATTACTTTTGTAATTAGAACCCCATTCCTCGGTGTAATAACTTTCCTCAATGGGCTTAAGGGTATCCAATAATCCTCGCATATATTTACCATTTCACCAGTCCCAATTCTTCAAATGTGGCCACGCTTGAAAGTTTGAATGCCCGCCACAATGCTCTGCCACATAAAGAAGGGCCCCTTCTTTGGTCCATCCGAGAGAAGATACCTGAAGGGTAATACTTTGCTTGGAGGATCCTTTTTTCTTTTGAAGCTTTTGCTCAGAGGATCCTAGCACATAATGATTCTGGGTCATCCAGTAGCTTCCAAACCTGTTTTGCTAACATAGCCAAGTTGAAAGAATGAAGGTCCCAGAACCCCATCCCACCATTTTTCTTGGGAAAGCACAATTTCCACCATACCCACCAATGTATTATTTTATTGTTTTCCTCATCTCCCACCAGAATCTAGCAATTGCATCTGTTATTTCCTTATAAACGCCCTTAGGAATTTTGAAGACAGGCATAACATACACAGAATAGCATACATCAAATCTCCTTTCCTTTAGTAGACAATTGTTTCTCACTCCATCCATTAGTCCGGGAACATACTCTTTCTACAAAATGATTAAAACAAGCAGTCCTGTCGGCTCCAACCAAGACTGGTATTCCAGGGTACTTATCAGATAATGCTTCCATATCAATATGAAGGCATGCACAAATATCATTTTTCTTCCATATCAATATGAAGGCATGCACAAATATCATTTTTCAAAGCAGGATTTGTATTAGGGCTGAAAAAAACACCTGACTTTGCCACACTCACCAACTGACCAGAATTGTTGCAATACACATTAAGAGCTTGTTGTCAGAAAGTTGCGTTAATCATATTTGCTTTCATGATAATAAGGGAATCATCAGCGAATAAGAGGTGTGATACTGACGGTGCATTTCTGCACACCTTTATCTCATCCATGCCACCGACTTCTTCTTATGTACTCCCTCTGTCACATAATGTAAGAGTGTCTTTGGCACTACACTTATTAGTCGACTCAAGGTGCTGACTTGACACACACCACCGGCTAACTTCACACAAAAGAGAATTATTATTATTATTATTATTATTATTATTATTATTATTATTATTATTATTATTATTATTATTATTATTATTATTATTATTATTTAAAGCACATACGGGGTTGTCCTTGCCTAATCCTCCATAATGATACGTCTTATGCTTGATGAGGCGGAGATCAGCTTGGCCATCGCCATAGCGCGTCACCTCCACGCCGATGAGCGTGACCATTTTCTGTGATAATTTTGCGAGGAAAAAGTCTAAAACAAACCTCAAATTTATAGGCAAAAGCTAAATCAAACCCCAAACTCCCAATCCCTGAAATCAGCACACCAAACTTTCTGATCCCGGTCTATTTTGAATCTTGGGAGGATTTAGCCGGTATACACTGAATTTGGCCGGCCCATTGGCGCAGTCTCTCGCGCTGGTCTGGTTTCCTTTGTTTGATTTGTTTTTTCTTTGGTTTTTTCCTTCGTTATATTTTGTTTTTTCACTGATTTTTCTTTCTTTGGTATACTTTTTGTTTGTTTTGTTTCTTTCTTGATTTTCTTCATATTGTTTTCTTTTTTGCTTTTGTTTTGTTTCTTTACCGGTAACAGGTTTTCTTTTTTACTCATCTCTAATATTCTCAGTACCCAATGTAAATTTTTAGCGCAAATATTTTTTATACACTTTCAACATTTTTCAGATAAATTATTTACATTCTATAAATGCATGTTTAAAAAAATGAATCATGGTAATAATTTTTCAAATACATATTTTACATTTCTTAACAACAATAAACATTTTATTAAACTACATGAACATTTTATACATTGTTAAATATTTTTAAAATTGTATACACTTTTTTCAAACACATGTCACGTATATTCTTATAAGGGTATGACACATTTTTTTTACATCACACAAACTTTTTTTTACATTGCATACACTTCCTTCCGAATATGTCACAAGCACATATTTTTAAACTCGTGAACATTCTTGAAATGTTACATTTTTTTTAATGGACGAAACATTTGTTTGAATCACGCGAATATTATTTACATTGTACATTTTTTTTGAAATGCCACGTACATTTTTGAGTGGCTGGATTTGCTACTGGCGGCCAGTGGCGGAGCTTCACTCTAAAACCTGATTCATATTTGGAGACTACTCCAGAATGGACTAGCGGTAGGAGATGAATTACTGCGGAGGAAAATAAGACCGGGAGTGTAGTGTATTGCATGTGGCCGCGATGAGACACTGGTCCATCGTTTTTGGCTGTGTCCATACTCGGTTCAGTTTTTGGCTGTGACATTTCTTTACGCATTTGTTCAGGTTTCAAATTTTTGAAAAATGTGATATAATTTTTGTAAATCCTAAAACATTTCATGGCATGTGAAAAACTGTTGTAATTCTGAACAGTTTTTGACAAATGTGATTTTTTTTAAATCACGGACTGTTTTTTTTAATGTGAATAGAATTTCAAAATTCCAAACATTTTTTTAAAAACACGAAAGGAAATTGAAGTTTTTAAAATAGAAAACAGGAACATTTTTTAACTCAAACATTTTAGAAATGCGCGAACATTTTTTAGACTTTACGAATTCTTGTTGTGGTATAGTGGGCCGGCCCAAATTCTCGTCCGTAAGAGTAGAAGGTTATCCCGGTCGGGGTTGTAGTATTCCTAGTGTGCCAAACATGTCTAGGGTTTAAAATAGACCGGGATTACAAGTTCAGAGTGACAATTTTCGGGATTCAAAATTCAAGGTTTGATTTAGGTTTCGTCTACAACTTCAAGGTTTGTTTCGGACTTTTTCCATTTTGCGATGCAGAATCGGTCGTCGGCTCCTAGGTGCATGAGGAATGACTGCACAGGGTGCCCCGTAGTGCCCCTTGGGCACTGTGAAGCCCGCCCACTCGCGGCTCACCGTGCCTTGCTGCAGTTCGGAGGTGCAGAGGGTGTCCTCGTCTCTCTCCAACAAGCCGAACCAGACGTTGAGCTCCTTGGCGAACATGGCGGGCCCGGAGAACGGCAACTCACAGTCACCCACCTTGATCCAGTCACCAACGCCGATGTCCGGGCACCACATGTTTGTCTTCATGTCATAGAAGTAGGTGTCGTGCGTCTTCGCGGAGACGCAGACGTAGGACTCTTCGTCGTTAGCAAACATCGTGCAGGAACGTAGCCGTCCGACTCGCTCCCTAGCTTCGCATAGGGAGGCTGCGGGATGGGATGCCAGGCCATGTATGGTACGAGACCTGCTTGGGTACACCCCCCCTCACAAAACGTATAAAGGGTAATATAGAATTTTTCACATATCGTATTCATTCTGTATGTATACGCTGTATAGGAGTTGGTTATTATAGGCTTTGTCCTGGGCTCGGCCCATTTACATTTTTTCCATTTTTAGGTTAAAAAATATTGCGCCACCTAAGATTCGAACGCAATACGCTCAATTTTTTTTTTCTAAACACACTTACCAACTCGGATACATAACCTATCGTGCAGATTTGCACTTCTTTTACTTCATGGTGTCTACAATTCCGGTTTTTCTTTGAGGGGTAATTCCGGTTTAGATCTGCATGGTTTTTCCGTGTTATCTTTTTTTTCCTTTTTTTACACATGGTTTCCGCTCGGATTTTTCTTCTTCTTTTTTGATTGTCGTTTTATATTTATTTTCCCATATTTATTTTAACTTTCCTTTGAAAAATTCAAGAATTTTTTTTCAAAATATGCAAAAAAAATCGAGATTTGTAAACGTGAATTTTAAAAAATATGTGAATCTTTCAAAGTTTTAACTTGTGAAAAATTTCCAAATTCATGATTTTTTTAAAAATTCATTGTATTTTTAACTTTTTTAACTCATAACAATTTTAAAATTCACAAATTTGTTTTCAAACTTACGAACTTTCTTTATTTTTTTTTAAATTTAACTCATGAGCAATTTTCAAATTCGTGAACTATATTTCAAACTTCTTAAATTTTCAAATTCATTAACCTTTTTTCAAAGCTAACTGGCAAAGAGAATGAG